TTTTTTTAAATGATTAAAATTAAGTTTATAAATCTGTGGTACAATATATTAACTGTTCTTTTCTGTTATGTAATGCCAGTAAGCAATAATAGAATAACGCGGGTAGGTTCGATTCTATCATGAAATGTTAGATTATTGTACAATTTCATTTTATTCATTTTAAGTCATAAACAAAAAATATAATATATAAAATATAAAATATATGTGTATATATTTACATATATATTCATTACATAAATGGATTTAAAATTTGATATTTTTATATAATATTATTTAATATTTTTCTTATGTTTTTAATGTTTTTTTATATATGTTTTATATTATAATTAAAGAAATAATAATAAATTTAATATTTTTAGACAAAAACAGTAGATTTTGATATAAAAGGAATTAAGGGAGAAGCAATAAAAACTCATACTAAATATCAACAAAATAATAATTTTTTGACAATTGCTCCTGCTTTACCCATTTTACCTGGAGCTCTTGTACCATCAAAGTTATTTAAGCGCCGTTATAATTCATTCAGGTATTGTATTAATATATAGACATATATTATATTTTTATTCAGAAATAATGTGATTCTAATGCTAAAAAATCATAACATTTTATATAAATAAATATATATAAATAAATATCATATATAGTCCAACAGATTCTCCATTTAATATAGAATATGACAAAGTTGATGGTTCTAATTCAGTTAATTTACAATGGACAAGCGAAGGAAAAACTGTCATGGCAACAAGAACAGCTTCAGAAAAAGAAAAGAATCCTGACAGAATATGTCTTGATAGAAGAGGACTTACTTCTTTTCCAAACATAATTGGAGAACCACGTTTACGTTTATTGTCTCTTCAACATAATCTTCTTACAAAGATTGAAAACTGTAATTTTTTACAATTAACAAAATTAGTATTTCTTGATTTATATGATAATCAAATTGAAAGGATATGTAATTTTGAAATATTAGAAAATTTAAGAGTATTATTGATTGGAAAAAATAGAATAAAAAGAATTGAAGGATTAAATCATCTTTCTAAATTGGAAGTTTTAGATCTTCATGGGAATCAAATTGTACAAATTTCAGATTTAAATAATCTTATATCTTTAAAAGTGTTAAATTTAGCTGGAAATAATATTAAAATAATAGGACATAATGATTTTCAAGGTTTAACATCATTAAAAGAATTAAACCTTAGACGTAATAAAATTAAGAAGTTATTAGGTTTTGATGAAATACAACAACTACAAAAATTATATTTAAGTAATAATGATATATATAAGTAAGTATTTTGTAAATTATATGTAAAAGATATAACATATTAAAAATTTTGTTAAAAAATATTATACGTAATAACATAATTTTTATAAATCAATATTTAATATTTTAGAATTGAAGATATAGGAAGTCTTGCTAAAGCATTACAGCTTAGAGAAATAACAATTGATGGAAATCCCATAACATTAAATGGAGATTATGTTTCTTTTCTTGTATCATATTTACCAAATTTACAATCTTTATCAACAATGCAAATTACTGAACAAATTCGAAGAACTGCTGTGGCATGGAGAACAGCAAAAGAACAAAATAATTCTACTTTTTTAAATCTTAGTACACAAGTTTGTATGAATGCTCGACGAGAAGAAATTATATCGAACGCTAAAATAAATTGGGAACTTCTCAGATCTCATTCTAAATCCTTGACAGATGATCATAATAAAAATAATAATCGAAGCAATAATATTAATGCAGTACAAATTCAAAAATCAGATAAATTCAATATGTTAAAGCAAAATTTAGAAAAAATAAAATCGAAAGGTTTTGGGAGTTTAACATCAATAAATGAAAATGTAGAAGCAACAAAAATAAATATAAAAAAAAGGAGTAATTCTAATGATAATTTATTTAGATTAAAAGATACAACTAAAGCATATCAATTAGAATTTAAACTTCCACCAATTTTAGATTCTATTATAAATAGTTTAATAAATAATAAATTTGAAAAAATAAAAAAAAACCTAATAGAAACAAAAACTAAAAATAACATTGAAAGTCTAACAAGTAGTGATTCAGAAATTTTAGAAAGTTCTGAAAATATACAAAGTTGTTTAAATTCTCATTTAAAATTAAATTCATTAAACTCTAACAATTATATTTCTCGTAATATTAATAAAATTACAAATAAAACATTTGAATCTATGAATGTTTTTCCATCAAACATTGTTGATGAGCAAAACAATAAGTATTATGATATCTTTAATTCTTCTAAGTTATCAACAAATAGTAAGCAAAATTTAACAAAAATATCTCAAAATATAAAAATTCATGATCAACATGGATTAAATGATTATCAATCAAAATCAAGCATCGATTCTTCTGGATATGGTTCTTTAAGTTCTAAAACTAATAGTATTGATAGTTGCAAATCAGTGCTAAGTGATTATAGCACATCGTCTACTACTAAAAATATAAATATAGAAAAAATAAAAACAAAGAGAAAAGAACTGCACAAGCAAAAAAAATAGTATGTTATAAGAATAATAAAGTAGCAATTGCTAGAGGTAAAAAAAAATTGAAACACCATCAACTCCATTACAAAATTTATCAAAAGAAAGAGAACAAGGTACAAAATAATAATAAAAATATTTATATTATAGTACAAATATTAATGTTAAAATTTGTAGGAGGAGACTATTTAATAGAAATAGTTGGACGTTGCTTAAATATTTATGGTCAAGGTGCATTACGTTTCGTCGATCGATTATGGGATTCTTCAAAAGCTGAGGATGTTAATATAGTTAAATTTAATTATGTACAGTTTAATGATGTGGCCAAAGTGTTATATAAAATAAAAAATAGGTTTCCAAATTTAGAACACTTTATGTTTAAAGAAACGAATATCAGTTATCTTGGACAATTAAATGCTTTAGCTGAAGTCCAAGGATTAACAAGTATTCATATAGAAACTGGAAATCCAATTATATCAAAGAATTGGAAAGTTTATGCTATATTTCGTTTAGCCCATTGGGGTTTGAAAGTTATCAATGGAAAAGAAGTAAATTTTTTTTTATATATTTGTATTGTAATATAAAAATAATATATTATAGTATTAAAAATCATTAATTATTAATTCATATTTATAAAATTAATAATTTTTTTCTATTTTTTAATAGATTACAAATGAAGAAATTGACTTGGCAAACAAAGAATATGCTGGTCTCATTGATATTGTGATGTGTTCACTGCCCGAATATTTATTACAACCATTATTAGAAAGACTTCATTTAGATAAAGTGCAAAAACAAACTGGAGAAATTACTGCCAAACAATTTTTACTTAACAGTGATCCAGCTCTTAGAAATGTTGTTGCTAAAGAAGCATTGCAATGGAGAAAAGGAAGTATAACACAGGTAATAAATTATTTTAGAAATATTGGAAAAATTAAAAAATTTTAATTTAATCAAATTTGAATTTTTTAATTATTATTTTTTTCTAAATATAGGAAGATCTTATTTGTAGACATAAAGGAAAAAAATATTTACTGAATTTAATAAATCTTACTGTAGATGCAATACAAAAGTTACAATTACTTGAAAATAAATGGCCAAGTATTTTATATGAAATAATTCATACTACTCTTTTTGATTTTTCTGATATGGATGCATACATGAAACGTTGCAGCAAAACACTTCAATATGATAAATAACAAATATTTATATATAATTATATATAATTATAGACATACATTATTGTATAATATACATAATACAAGAAAGAAGATTGATAAAATTGGCTTAAATGTTCTTTATAAAATTATTTCATTATTAAATAAGTTAAATAAGTTTAAAAATTTACGTATTTATGAATTTATAAAATATTTATATTAAATATTCACATCAATTTTATTAATTTAATAATGTAATTATTAATATAATAATCTTAGGAATTACTTTTTGTATTTATTCATTCGTTTTTAGAAGTTTTTTAACAAATTTGAAATATCTATATTAATAAATAAAAATAAAATAATATTTAAATTTTATATAACTAAATCATTATATATATATTATATATATGTTATATATATATATATAT